GCAGCCTGACGTCGTTGTCGTGCCCTAAGACGAATGGCGGTGTGGTACTAGGTGTTAGATAAAAAGGAGCGCCGTTTAGAGATGGATATGCTGGTTACTTAACTTAGTCCTCTCCTAGCATTGCTGATGATGGGCGTGTTCGTCTATTTGGAATTTCCCCGACACCAACTACATCATGGTCATCTGTTCGGTTTTTTCAGGTGACGATACTGAGATACTTGCCGAGTCCAGCAAGGCTGTCCAAATCATGGGAGGGGATCGCGGAGTGTCATGGATGACAGCGGTTCCGACGCGAACACGGACGACGGTCTCGATGATATGCCAGAGGACCCACTTCGTCCACCGCTTCCTCAACGCGATGTCAAACCCGTTCTCCAGCAGTGATGTAGACCAGTCACGCGCCTATGCGGGACATAGAGTCGTTAGGGTTCGGCCTGGCGTCAATTAATTCTTGTATTTTCCATTGAGTTCACAAGAAACCGAGACTATTCGTGATGTTCAACCCCATTGGAAATGCAAACTACTTTCAATCGTGTGAATGTAAACTTGAAAATATAGCCGTAGAATGTGGTTACCATTATTACCCGACGCGTAGGATGCACGATATATACCTTATTTGAATGATTAGTGTTATGTAGTGTGCCCCCCATCTACATGTATATGTCGATACTCAGAGAGACCATAGCTATCAACTTGTAGGAGAATGCCATGAGTACCGATGAAGGTGTCAAGTGTATTGAGTCGTCAATTTGAGACTGTTGTCCCCAAATAACCTTTAGATGGCCACTTAATAACGTCGTAGTTGTCGAAGTGCATACTGAAAGAGGCTGTCATCAAGTCGGGAGTACTTCATTGGTTAATTAGCTTCTTGAGTCGACTTTTAGACTATCTGGAGCACCGCCTTCGTTCATGAGAGTGATGTCAGCAGCAGCGTAACGGTGTTTGATCGCAAGCAGTTCAAGCTCATACAATTTCCATCCCAACTCAAAAGTAATCAGACGAATTCATCATATTACACGATAATAGATAACTTAGTCAGTCTTGGTGTGGTGGGATATGAGCTCAAGAACTACTAGTCAGTAATCGAATTGTGCCCCGAAATACAACTGGACGGGATCTAGTATCAGTTCTGACTCGTCAACAGAGGGATATGTGGGCGTCAGGTGCTGTGACAACGTATTCCCACAGAATATGAGGCCCGTGGTGAACTTTGTAGATAATGGCAGACGTGTGTACCAGACACTCAACATAGTGGACTGCTTGTGATGCCTCCCATCGCGGTTCAGAGTGTTGTCCCCTTTGAAAGATCACAGTAGACTTGGTGTGTCAAGCAATGTACTCGAAATGTCCACCTTGCTGGCACTCAAATCACTGCAAGTGATAGCGCAAATGACACTCGTATTGCCAAATGAAACCTCTCTGTGATATCGAAGATAAGGTTATGCGCGAATTTATCAGTATTGAAGGGCATGTGATAGATATTGAGGATACCACGTGGAAAGTCAAGCAAAACGCCGTAGGATAACACGGAAGCCATTGATGACGCTGGGGGAGTCCTTTGATGTTGCCATCAATGCTTGGTGTCCCTTCAAAATGCCAATGCACTTCCCTAGAGTGATATCGTATGCGCTCATGCAATATTACTAAGGATTCATGCCACAAGAGTCAGTCCCCTTGCACTAAACATCAGCAGGAAAGGTGCCCTGCCGGGTCATGGATATTTTGCATCCGACATTATTCAGCAAGCAAACTTACCCACGTGATCACAAGGGGGTACCCCCTCATATGAGCAAAGCAAGTGAAAACCAGCCACATCCAAACGATATATCGTAATTAATCAAGGCTGGCGTGGTTTTACATCCCCACACGATGTCGTCGACATCGTATACTACCCAGGACCTAGTGTCTGTTGGCGACACCGTCCAATCAGGGCCGCGCTCATCGTGCAGATAAACATGAAATTTTCATGCCCGATGGACGATTACAGAGGCAAAACTCAGCTAAACAAGCGACTCTGAGCTATTGCCATCGATATGGTCCTCTCCAATGAGTTTGGAGACCCTTTGTCACTCGAGATACCCGTTGTTGAGTTCCCGTTCGTCAGCTAAGGCATCCATCTCACACGACGCCACTCTACGCGCTCAAAGAGACAAAGAGCACGCTTATTGAGGTACCAGGGATACTCTTTTAGATGTCCATCATCTTTTCAACGGTTATACTGCCCGTCCAGTGGCGAATTTTGGGGTGTACACGCCAATGAGAATGAGCGAGCGACGCGTTCCCCAAAGGAACCAGATAGCGTCGTGGCAACTATCAGCGTCATCATTGTGTGTTTGTGGCTAGATATACAGCAGGTTTCCACTTGTTTTTATGGCATCATCGCGTTATTTTCTTGCATTTGTGTCAATATTGTGAGACACTTCCAACGACAATCTCAACACCCCAGCAAAGCCTCAGCCTAAAGCGCAGTGGTGTGCAACATGGCGGTCACTATCAACAGTCAATTGGTCAATTCGTTTAGGGAAGGAAAGACCTCGGCAAGATTGTCAACTGGTGGATGCAACGAACGCGTGATCCAAGATTCCGACGGCTTTCCGAAAATCCTTAGAGTCCAACACAATGACTCTTACAACTTGAAACGGCACGGTAACCGATTTAGGCCTTGGTAGGCCTCCATCGAATACTGTGGCAGCGAACACGATGTGGCGGTCGACAAGGCGACGAGCATCCCGAAACTTGCGAAGTTTAAGGGATTGTCGGCTGAATACCTTACATGTGGGGCTTAATATGAGTAATTAGTGAAGGGGATGCTGTCGTGGGCGTTGACATTTGTACCCTCCATTTGGCCACAGAGTATGCGGCGGCGATCATGTTGACACTCGCGCTTCTCTGTAAGCCCCGATCAACAGCTGTGTGCAGGGACAATGCTATCAAACTTAGTGTTGGTTGAGGATGAGTGGGTTCTTTGTATGTGGTTTCGACTTTAGAATCGTCGGTGTCGTTACTCGTCACGATCTTTGTGAAGAGCACTCTAGCCGCCAACCGTCTTTTACGGTTCATTTTTCCAGTTTTGAGAGCTGTGATATTGAACCAAAATTGCTGCCGTGAATATATAAGTCGTACTGGTGTTAGATTGATCATGAGTGAAGTCACCGTATTCAAATGTTGTTTTAACGTTGATCGTAGGAACAGAACTCAAACTATCGATTCCTGGTAATTGTGAGAGGTTTCTCAAAACATTGGGGATTCTTTCTCTTCAAAATCACACTATCCACAACAACTTTACGTATCGGATGCTATTTCAATCAATCGAACATGAATTCGTACAGCCCTCGACATCGAAGTAGTTACGCTCGTTCTTCATGCTTGAGATACTATACGGGAGCCAGAAAGTTTGCGGTTGCCCATAGTGATTTCTCAGCGAGATTCCAGGATGGTATGAAGGGAAACCTTGACCATGCCAACAGCCTCTGACTAATCGTAATTGATTGGAGGTGGCCATAAGACAGGAAGCAGATGCCGAGATAGCAAACGCGAGTATAGCCGGCAAAACTTGGGGTCTCTTGCCAATTTCTTCGAAGTATACCGTGGAGTACAAGCAAGCCTTCCTTATCAAGAGAGTTGAACAACGCAAATCGTTCATTTTGACGTTGTCACCCATAAATCTCGGAACCACGTTTTCAAATGAGCGGAAGGAGTTGCTGAACCAGTATGAATACATGGCAGCTGGAGCCAACCGCCACCAGGTCAGCGTCGTTTTTTGGGCTCGTTTTGACGGCTTCCTTGAAGGCTCTCATCTTCAATTGTATCAAATAAGCTATCTTAAATTCAGCCGAACACTCGCAAACAAAAACTAAGCATCACCCCCTACTACCTATAAGAAACGACCCATTATATACATACAATCATTCGATTTTTTGCATTGGATACCTCCTGGGTTCGAACTTCCGTATGTTTCAATTGTCTCTAGATTTTGCATTTTAATTGCTATACCGTAAATTAATTTGGTAATTCCAGTAAAAAGGCGGATTTAATTATCGCATAAGTCCGACCAGCGGATGATCTCATCGCACATATAGCATGATAACGAGCGATAAAACGGCGCTCAACTTAAACATATAGAAGTGACTGAACCTATAATAACTACTTGATCCTAATATTTCACTTCACCCGATCATTCCATCACATCCTTGAAATCTAGGAGGGATATAAAGGGCTCCCCCTAAAGATGGTTATCGCTGCCAGTGGTGAGATCAACTTGTAGGAGATCCTGCACACGGCCCCGACCCTTCGGTTTCCCTTTACCAACTAGCCGACGACTAGGGGGCTTCGAGGGAGGTCGTTCTCTCTTGAGCCCTGGCTCGTTTGACCCGTCTCCCTCTCTAGTATATAATCATCCCTAGATCCAGTGGGAGAGGGGATCGGAACTTAGTCAGTTCAACTCTACGTCGCTGGTCTCAGGGGACTATTAGCTAACGTCACTCAATTGACAGATCCTAACTAAGACTGCCCCTTTTTCCTACCACACACCCCGCACTCCACCTCCACACCAGTTGATAAGCGACCCCAGAATTTCAAAAGAAACCACCAATCATCACGCTGGTGACTTGCCCTGAGTACCTATAGTGGTCTCTATTTGTACAATGGCAAGACCCCCATTCCCCGCGGGGCTGTTTATTCGCAGCATATTGGAGAGTTCAAAGCATCTGACATCCATAAAGTTACGGTGCCTCGAACGTTTACACGAGTTCATTGAAACGGAAACGGTGAAACGTTTGGATGTACCTGGCTATTGCAAGGGTGTGACGGCGGTGTGCAAAAATAGCCGCCATAAATCGCTTGTACGCGGCGCATTGAGGTTCTTGAACGTACTCATTGATAAGGTTGACATTACCTTCGTTCCTATCGACATCCAACGTGACTTAGTTTCGAGTATCTTACTGCAAACCGTTATCAGAGGCCGCGAATTTGACGCTGTTTGTGACCACCTCCGGCAAGTCATGGGGGAAGTGGTCGACGAGGAACTGGACAAATTGAGAGCTAACGTGCCCGTCAAGAAACTCACGCGCTTAATCTTGGATATACTTGGTGTTATTTATGATGACACTGACGTCGCTCAGATTCACAGAATACTTTGCTCTGCTCTTTCCGGTGAGACATACAACGCGACTGACTTGCTCGAGCAATATGGTAAGGAGTTGTCTGACCAGGCAAAGGACTCCCTTTTGAAGGTGTTCCGTAAAGCTGCTGAAAAGGCTCTGCCCACTACATCTGATGTTCCATCTGATGACGCTGTTGATGAATCGCCTCCCGAGTTCGAGAACCCCGTAATTGTGGAGCAAGACATCTCCCTGCCCGGCTCCACTGGCGAGCAAAACATTGCCCTGCCCGGTTCTATTGGGGAGCAAGACACCACCTTGCCCCGTCCCATTGTCGAGTTAAATATCCCCCTGCCCGACTACTTTGGCGAGCAAAATATCCTCCTGCCCGGTTCTACTGGCGAGCAAAATATCGCCCTGTCCAGCTCCATTGGGGAGCAAGACACCACCTTACCCCGTCCCGTTGTCGAGTTAAATATCCCCCTGCCTGGCTACTTTGGCGAGCAAAATATCCTCTTGCCCGGTTCTACTGGTGAGCAAAATATCGCCCTGTCCAGCTCCATTGGGGAGCAAGACACCACCTTGCCCCGTCCCATTGTCGAGTTAAATATCCCCCTGCCTGGCTCTATTGGCGAGCAAAATATCCTCTTGCCCGGTTCTACTGGTGAGCAAAATATCGCCCTGCCCGGCTCTATTGGCGAGCAAGACATCTCCCCGTCCGGCTCTACTGGCGAGCAAAATGTGCCCCTGCCTGGTTCCACTGGCAGATCATCTAACACCCCTAGGGGCAGAAAGAGAAAGAAGCGGTCTGATTTCTTTTCCAAGATCATGCGTTTTGTCAAAGAAGCGAAACGCTCTGCGTTGAATGATCCCGATACTATGCGCGTGGAAAAGGTATTTGTTTTTGAGGACCCCCGTATGATTGATGTCGTGGTACCCGATTCTGACACCGACTGAGAAATATGTTTGAGAGTTAAGTTTAGCATTTAATGTAAAAAGCATGTTCACAATGATGAGTTTGGGTTATTAGTATAGGCAGAATTGTCAAAGATAGGCGTGCTCATCGCTGTGCCGACACAAACCTCTAGCGTAACATACCTCATACGCTTGTATAACAACTTGCTGACTCTCATGAAAGTTTTCACCAACACCAAGACTCTTTTGCATCCTGCCATGACGTTGCGTCAATAACTTTACGACAAAGGTTGGTTGAGTACAGCCTATCACTGGCTTTGCGAGGGACAGGTGGTTTGGATCTATCGCTACCGTCGGCGCTAGTTCGGATTCAACAATGACCACTTGCTAGGGTCACTTGGAGTGGGAGCGATCATGATAAAGTTTTGGACGGTTCCTCGGTCTCATCGTTTTAAGATTATAATGATAACCCTTTAGGATCAGCTTTACGTGAAAGTGGTAGCATCATGAACGAGCTTCTGGCGGTCCGAAAGTTACGTCGGCGTTACTAAATGCCTCGAGGTGCTGAACTGGTTGTTTCTTGATTGATGCCCTTGCGCTATAGTTATTGATGTTAATAGGGACTGTGGAATTTTACTCCCTGGTTCAAATTACCCATTTAATGCCATCTACGTTTTCCTAAACAGGTGGGAGTATTTGCTGTGGTAAATAGTGAAGCGTGTATTAGCTGTTTTGGCTTTTAATGTCTGGCGATGAGAGGAGTCAATAGAATCTCGAAGTCAGGCGAATCGTAGGACGCATCGATTGATCCATGTAAATACGATTATCTATTGAAGATATCTTTTCTTTTTGAAAAATCAATTTTGTTTGACCTTTGACTGATATTAACCATTAGCGGTGGTTGCTCAACGCGTGGCTACATAATAAGTTTATCATGATGGAGTCGTGATTTCCTACACATGACAGAACGTAACGTGTTGAAATTGTTGAGTATAGTCATCAATCAACAGTCACCACTGGTATATACACTTGTCGGTGCCGACAACTTCCTCGATCTCGGTATCATTTAGAAGACAACACAGCATCATCATCGGATCTCACATTCGACCAAGTTTAACTTTCAGGCCTTAAACTTCTTGATTTCGTCGAGCGGCACCACCCCCAGCGTCCCCAGCTCGATCTTAGCGTACATCGCCTCCGCCACCTGGTCCGTCAGCACCGGCGGCTTGATGGCGTTGTTGAGCGCCTTGATCTTGTTGCCAAAGAGACAATCTTTGATCGAGTACCCGATTTGAAGCACCCCTTTAACGATATCGCGGTTGGCAAAGTGGTGGGAGTGGGCGTCGTACATGAACCCCGGGCGCATCAATATCGCCCGCAAATCGGGTTTATTCAGCAACTCGAACTCGGCCTCGCGCTTGGTGGTGAGGTAGTCCAGCGGCACCAACGGCGGCTGGCTGTCGGCACTGATATACACCATGGTATGACCCTTATCGGGGTTAGCCTGGACGAAGGTATCGGCCAACACCACCGCCAGATCGCGCTGGACGGCCTCGTAGGTGTGGTAGTAGCTGCGGTCCATCGGGTTTGACCCTTTCAGCGCCGCCCAGCTGATGGTTTGGGCAATATCGTCCACCAGCTTCAAGTTGGAGTTGGCGATCTTCTTGTAGCGGGGGTCCTCAAATAACAAGCCAATCGAGTGGACCACGGTGTCGACGCCTTTCAATTTGTCGGCATAAGTGTTTGGTTCAAAGATATTGCCCTTGAGCCACTGGACAGAGCTCGCCCAGGGCTGGGCTTCGATCCCCGCTGGCGGCTCGCCCCGGCGGCTGATGGCAAGCACGTCGTAGCCTCTTTTCACGCCGTGGCGAACCAACGCCAGCCCGAGAAAGCCATTGCCGCCAAAGATGGCGATCGAGGGACGAGACATGGGTGTGTGTGTGTGGAGTGGAGTGGATTGGTGGTGAGGGTTAACGCCGCCGCGGCGAGCAACCCTCCGAAGCGGATCCAGCGGGGCCAATCGTGGGGGCAACTGACTCTATTTGATTATCTATTATTGTTATGTTATTATGATTAATCGTTATGTTATTGGATTTATTGGAATTGAGGTCGTGTTTGGGGTGAAAGTGTGGGGCATCAATCAGAGCACCATCACGAGCCATCACTAAGCTAAAGGTGCCCGCATAGGAGAACTCTTGAAATTAAAATTAGTATCAGATGATTGATTTGGTATCACTGACTCAAATTAGCCTCTTAGTTTCAATCATGGAGCCATTGAACTTAGGGATGTGGCACTCATCAGTGAACACGTATCATTAGGTGTAGACTCCAACGGCTAGTCAATCTCAGCCATAATGTCCTGGAAAAGCAGGACCATGTCCCACTGGTCGACACTAACACTCAAATACACTGGTTTATTCAATTTCTTCAGGAGTAGTTGGGCCAATTTGGCCACGTCATCGTTGGCGCCGACCAAGGGGACCACCATCCCCTGGATACAGTAGACGTAAGCCCCCAACGGGACCGGGTCCACCGTATCGGGAACAACGTAGCAAGTGACAAGCTTTTCGGTAGTGGTCACCTCGAGCTTGTAGCGAGTCTCGGCGGCGGCGGCCCCCGCCATCATCGCCATCATCAGTGCCATCGCGAACAATGATGAGGAAGTCGATGGTGGTAAATAAGGGTAAATTAAGCAACAGAAAATCAAACAAAATCAGGGTAATAGAGTGTTTCAGAGACGGATCATATCAGAGAAGGACCAGAGAAGGTATCAAACCATACCATGGGATCATCATTCATATATACAGATTATAATGCGGGGGGACCACGGGCCACCGGGTTAAGCTGGGCCGCTTCGAACTGGGGCTCAGGCTCTTCTTCTTCCACTTCCTCTTCAATCGGTTCCACCAGCTCCACCTCTTCAATATAGTGTTTAAGCATCAGCTCGATGCCGTTCTTAAGGGTGACGCTCAGCGAGTCACACGAGCGACAGGCCCCCTTTAACCGGAGGTAGACGGTACCGGTATCCTCTTTGAACTCCACAAACTCGATATCGCCCCCGTCGTCTTGGATGGCGGGGCGGATCCGCGTGAAGATGAGCTCTTTAATCATCGCCACCACGTCGTCGTCGTCGTCGTTAATCTCCAATTCATGTAAGTCGACGTCCTCAGAAATGATGGGAGTGCCGTTATTCAAGTACTCGGTCAAAATGGCAAAGATCTCGGGCTTCAAGATGTTCCAGTCGCCCAGCTTCTTTTCCACGGTGATAAAGTCGGGCCCGTACATCACCAGGCGGACGCCGTCGACGGTGAAAAGCTTCACGGCAAGTGGCAGGCACGCCGCCTCGCGGCCGCTGAGAAACTCCTTGGTCTGGCCGTCGCCGAGGATCTTGGTCGAGGGGAGAAACTTGAGGGCATTCTCGTTGGGGGTTTCCAACGTCTGGATGAATAACGATCTCCAGCTAGTGAAAGCGGGCTTGGCCGCTAACACCCTTCGCATGCTGGCAACACCGGTGCGAGCAAACATGGCGATTTGTGGGAGGGTTGATATGGGAGTTGTGGCTGGAGTGTAGCTTAGTGCGCGGTGGTCCGGATGAGATCGCGCGAAGGCCTACTAGCAATTATAAGATTCAGTAACTAATAGAGTGAAAATTGAATAATCAAATCACTTATTTGATTAATCAGACTGAAATTTAATCATATACGTTTCATATTTGAACAAATGATGACTTATGGCGTATAGATGAAGACCTTAACTCCAGTGTCTGGATGGTCTCTGAAAATTGATGATGACAAATCAAGCCTGAACAAATCAAAACAAAGAACTATTACTCCTTTCTCTAACTTTCTATTTGTCTATAGTCTATGATACATGTCGGGGCTAGCCCGAGCTTTTAAATATAAATTTAGTAGAACCCTTGTTCCTTCAAGAACGCCACCGTCAGTTCGACGGCGTCTTCCAACGACCCGGACAAGTCCGGAGCGTACGAGTTGCCGCTGCCGACAGCGGTCGCCGCCGCCGATACCAGCGCCTGAGGGCCAGTGGCAATGACACCAGCCCCGGCACGCACAAGTTCACTAATGATAAACGCGTCGTACTTGGTGGCGTCGACCTTAGTGATCTTTCTCCCCGGGAACTGGTTCAACGTCGCCTCGAGGGCGTGGCCCAAGTAGTCGCCCTTCTTGTCGCTGTTGTCGATGGCAATGACAAACCCTTGCTTTGATCTCGGCGGGTTGGTGTCTCTCAAGATCTTCACCACCTCGGGGTACGAGAACCACTCGGGGATGTCGTCGCCGGTACGCAACTTGTTGCGCAACTCGGTGCCGGAGATGTTGGCCGTCTTCACTTTCAGAGTGTCGATGGTGTCGATGGGAGCGTAGCGGTCTTCGTCCGGCAAGTAAGTGACCATGCGGAAGGGGACGATTTTGATTTCCAATTCGTCTTCGTATTGAGCCAATAACTCTTGAGCGTCGTAAGGACCGTAGAAATCAACCCCGGCCGAGTTCTTACCGGGCCCAGCGTGGTCACGACCAACAATGAAATGGTCGACCCCGTAATTGGTTCTGATCAAAGCGTGCCACAAGGCTTCTCTGTCCCCACCCATTCTCATGGCGAGGGGCAAAAGCGAGAGGGTAGCCAAGTTGTCGGGGTACTTTTTGAGGATTTGCTGGTACACTTTCACTCTGGTGTGGTGGTCGATGTCGCCAGGCTTGGTGAGACCGACCACGGGGTGGATCAAAATCTGGCCTTCGCCCTCGCCCAAATCGTTAGCCGCTCTCACCGTGAGTTCTCTGTGGGCTCTGTGCATGGGGTTTCTCGTTTGGAAAGCGACGATCTTCTTCGTGTCCCACCCCAATCTCGAGAATTCTTGTCTCAATTCCTGGGGGGTCTTACGGAACTCGGTGTAGTCGTAGTGCTTGGGGTAGTTGAGCCCTTGCAACTTACCACCCACGTACCAGTCGCCAGCGGTCTCGTGCAAGTATTTCACCGCGGGGTGTTCCGGGTCGCCTCTGAACACCTTTTCGCCCTCGACTTGCTTATTGGGCTGGTACACCAGTTCCACCGTCAAAATGGCCAAGGGGGTCTCATCTCTCAAATCAACGAGCACCACTCTTTCACCTTGTTTGAGCGATTGGGCCGAGGCAGCATCGACATCAAGCGTGATCGGGATCGGCCACAAGTAGCCCTTACCGGTGGCAGGGTTGATTTTCAGCGCCAATCTCATTTCCGACACCACCAGCTCGTAGTCGTCCTGGTTCAAGAACCCGTCAAGGGGAGAAAACCCACCGTTCAACAACAATTCCAAGTCACACAACTGGCGGGGCGTCAACACGAGTTGCGGCAACAGCTTCGCTTCGGCGAGGAGCTGGTCCCGCTTAGAGGCATCGCGCTGGACGAGGTCGAGAAGCTCGCCACCGTGGGGTTGAGGGATCGGCATCTTTCGGTTGTCCTCGAGGGTTGTGACTTTAGTAAATCGTGCCGATCAGATGCTTTATAGGTTGGCGGGTGTGGTTAGCATAGGTCACGTGTGATCACCTAGTCGGACTACCACCAAACAAAACCACCGGCCAAGAACTACCACACTGAGGCTAAGCCCACCAACGGAAACGAAACCTGTGGCACTGAAACATCTTGGCATCCGCCACAACCGCCACCACCATCATCAATTCATTCCTTTACTGTGGTGCCATCTTTGGTGGGGTAGTATTGGGGACGTGTCAGGCAACGGTCGCGGCCCGCCACAGTTCTGCAGGTGGCTCTGTCTCTATGACAGTGTAATCTCAGATGTGTCGGCAACTGAGGCGACAGGGCGATGGAAATATAGATGGGGTATATAAGATGTCGGATCCAGCCGTGCGGGGAATCTAGCAGATAGAGTTTGAGTAGGCGTTAGAGTCGGTTTTCCGATAAAAGTGACTATCAGATCATCGTAGTACTAGTAGAGAAGAGGGGAGTGAAAAATCACTGATCCCACCGAATCAAGCGAATTTTGAGAATACCACTGACATAACCATCCCCTAAACAACCGAAACCAGGTCATTTTCAGTTGGATTCATCGGGTTTCAGTGGGTCAATGGTGCTGCTATTTCTGTTGGCTGGAACCCAAACGAAATTCGGGTGGGACACGCCCCGCTCCCCCGCCCCGTGCAGGAGCAAAGAATTTCACCGGGGGAACTGCTTAATCGGGACAGCGCCCCGTGCAGGCAGCCAAACACCACCACGTACTGCCTCCCCCCCACATTATCGCCGACCAAACGTATCGATAAACCAAAAGGTACCTCCGAGGACCCGGTTCCCTTCGGCCGGACGGCACATGGCCAAAATTTTCACTCCCAGCCGCTCGTCCACCCCCACACTCCCGAATCAAGGCGATGATCCACCCAACTCTTATCCATTAATCAAGGGTAGTAATTTGGAGACACGTCCGTCTTAGGTGTTCATGACTAAGGCGTTAGTGAGCCCGTTTGCGGCGTTTGCCCCTCAATTAATAAGGACGCAGAAAATTGCCAGACGTCGCGCCGCCAGGCGTGTGTGGGTGTCTCTCGCACTCCATGGCCTGCACCCGTCCGAAAACCTCGCCCGGCGCCCCCCTCCCCTCCCCGCTTGTATAAAAGGTGTGCGCTTCGCACAAACAATTTCTTGCTTTGTTGGCTAACTATCACGTCAGTGACTTTCTGCTTTTAACTCGCTAACAAACCCACTGATAAGACAATGCTGGAAGCTAAAGGTGATCTCGGGTTGATTGGGCTCGCGGTGATGGGGCAGAACCTCATCCTCAACGCCGCCGACCACGGCTACACCGTGGTCGCCTACAACCGTACCGTGGCCAAGGTCGACCACTTCTTGGCCAACGAGGCCAAGGGCAAGCTGATCTTGGGCGCCCACTCCATCGAGGACTTGGTCAAGCAGTTGAAGCGTCCTCGCCGGGTGATGTTGTTGGTTAAGGCCGGTGAACCCGTCGACGACTTCATCAACCAATTGCTCCCTTACTTGGACAAGGGTGACATCATCATCGACGGGGGTAACTCGTTCTTCGAAGACACCAACCGCAGATACGCCGAATTGAAGGACAAGGGCATCTTGTTCGTCGGCCTGGGGGTGTCGGGCGGTGAAGAAGGTGCCAGATACGGGCCCTCGCTCATGCCCGGTGGCCACCCTGACGCCTGGCCCCACATCAAGAACATCTTCCAGGACATCGCCGCCAAGCTGGACGGCGAGCCCTGCTGCGACTGGGTCGGCGAGGCCGGCGCCGGCCACTACGTGAAGATGGTCCACAACGGGATCGAGTACGGTGACATGCAATTGATCTGCGAGGCCTACGACATCATGAAGCGCGTGGGCAAGTTCACCGACAAGGAGATGGGCGACGTTTTCGCCACCTGGAACAAGGGGGTGTTGGACTCGTTCCTCATCGAAATCACCCGTGACATCTTGTACTACAACGACCCCGCCGACGGCAAGCCCCTCGTGGAAAAGATCTTGGACTCTGCCGGGCAAAAGGGGACCGGTAAGTGGACCGCGATCAACGCCCTCGACTTGGGGATGCCCGTTACTCTCATCGGCGAGGCCGTGTTCTCGCGGTGCTTGTCGGCGCTTAAGGACCTCAGAGTCGACGCCCTGAAGAAGTTGCCCGGCCCCACCATCCCCGAGCAATCGCCGATCAAGCCCGAACAACGTCAACAGTTCATCGACAACTTGGAACAGGCGTTGTACGCTTCCAAGATCATCTCCTACACCCAAGGGTTCATGTTGATGCGCCAGGCGGGTAAGGACTACGGCTGGAACCTCAACTTCCCCTCGATCGCGTTGATGTGGCGCGGGGGGTGCATCATCCGCTCGGTGTTCTTGAAGGACATCACCGCCGCCTACCGCGAACACCCCGACCTCGAGAACTTGTTGTTCCACCCTTTCTTCAAGGACGCCATCACCAAGGCTCAAGACGGGTGGAGACAGACCTTGAACCACACCCAGACCTGGGGGATCCCCGCCCCCGCGTTCTCGACCGCCCTCGCCTTCTACGACGGGTTGAGATCGGCGCAGTTGCCCGCCAACTTGTTGCAGGCCCAGCGTGACTACTTCGGTGCCCACACCTTCCGCGTGCTCCCCGGGTGCGAGCTGAAGGAGTTGCCCTTGGACCAGCCCATCCACATCAACTGGACCGGTAAAGGTGGTAACGTCTCTGCCTCCACCTACAACGCTTAGGGAGGGTAGCTCTCAAATTGGTCTATAGCTAATTCATGACAAAACTTGTAAAAAAAATTGATAGGAAAATCAACTCCGACGTCGATGCCGTCTTCGGAGTTTTGTCTCCGGGGTAAACAGACGGGTTTCTCCCCGCCTTTCACCCCGCTTCCCCTCAATCGCCGTGTGCCTTTCGCTGCACCGTATTTTGCAGCACTGATGTAAACCCACCTAAGCGGCCAACAATTAAACACGCGCGACAGCTAGCACAAACAGTCACCCTCACATAAGCGCGCAGCCTGCCAAAGCAAAAAAAAAAAAGGCGCGACCGTGCGGATTTTGTTACCCCTCCGAGCCCCGGTCGTTGCCAGACGTTTACTAGCTTCGGACGACGGTTTTCCTATGGATCTAGGGCGCCAGCTCGCCAACCTCATTGCCGGACACTCCCCCACCTTTCCCCCCACCCCTACCAAAGCGGTATCGTCTCCCGCAAGGTCCCGCTGGCTTCCGTTTCTGGCAGTTATCGCCGCCGTCGTCGTTGGCTACATCGTCTACCCCACGCTATTCCCCCAAGCGCCAATGTTCTCCAGACGACCAGATAAGTATACTCCAGGTCTCCAGAACCTCCGCAACGACTGCTTTGCCAACCTGAGTCTCCAGGCGTTCTCGGCGCTCCCGGGGCTCACCGAGTACCTCAACGAGTTTGTCCTGGTCCACGCCGAGTTGGAGCGATATATGACTAGTGCCAAGATCTTGGACAACGTCATTAAAGGGCGGGCCACCACGCAAAAGGCCAAAAAGGGCCGCTTTGACTGGCACGGCTACGATGTCCCCTTACACCGCGCCCTCGCCGTGTTTATGAAAAAACTCCAGGAAACCATTACCTACTCGAAAACAATATCAGTATGGACGTTCCTCCACTCGTTGGAGGCGATATTCAACTCGAAAATCCTGCGCAGCCAGCACGACGCCCACGAGTTGACCATGCTCATCATGGAGACGTTGGAGGTGGAAAACCACAAATTGCGGCTGTTTAAACACTATTTGGAGTCGCATTTGGACCAGTTCGTCAGTGCTACCGCCAGTGACTACCGCGTGGTGCTGGCGCTGGTCCCCGACGTGCCGTTTCTGGGGCTCGTGCTTCTGAAAATGCAGTGCACCAAATGCCAGCGCACCTCCAAGCCTAATTTCAGCCCGTTTTTGATGATGACGCTCACAGTTCCTCAACAATTGTCCACCAGCTTGGACGAAATGCTCCGCCATCAACAGCAGGAGCTGATCGATGGCTACCACTGCGTCGTGTGCCGGCTGCGGTTCTTGCTCGACCAGCTTGCACCTGACCACCCGTTGCGCCCTCAACTTACAGCACTTGAGCTGCTGGCGTTCATCAACGAGGACCTTATCCCCGAAGTTGAGGACTTGATGAAGAGCCACCGCGGCATGGACCAGGTGGTGCTGACGGTGGTGCTGACCCACCAGATCATCAAACCCCCCAAGATCTTTGGTATCCACTTGCTGCGGCTGACGTTCAACGGCCAGATGGTGGTGCGCAACCCGTGTCGGGTCAAATTCACCGAGTCAGTGCAGTTACTGATTGGCCCCTATACCGAGGAGCTCCAGCACTTACTGGAGCTCTCACTGAAGGAAGACATCCACGCACGTGTTTTAACCACTGACGTCAACGATATGGAGAACGCCCTGGTGCAGAACGGCCTGTTTGAGCACGTCGGCACCGACGAGGCCCTGGTCGACGTCACCCTGTTGCTGGGCGACTACGGCGACATCACCCTGTTAGGGTCGGACCCGCCGGAGCTGGTGGTGCTGAGCGTGCTTAATGCGTCAAAGGACCAGCTCGCCAACTTGCAAAAGGAGTTTTCCCAGTTTGACTTCAACGCCAACGACGTCTACAACTATAAGCTCAAGCTGATGATCCGCCACCAAGGGTCGCACACCATGGGCCACTACGAGTGTTTCAAGCGGAAACCGACGTACGTCAAGGACAAGGACGGCACCATCATCCGGCTCTCGCCCGAGATCTCGGCTGAGGTGTGGCAGGAGTGTACCGAGGAGAAGCTCCCCGAACTGCCGAAACCTCAGGACCTGAAGAAGCTCTTGGGGCTCAAGAAAAAGCAGCCGGAAATCATCCACCTGGCGATGCTGGAACGGCTGGCGGCGTCGAACATCCGCCTGGGGGTGGCGCTGCCCGCCGAGATCGAGATGAGCGTCAACTTGTCCCAGTTGCTCGCGGTGGACCCGCTGAAGCTGAAACAACGCAAGCTCAAAAAGCTCTCGCTGGTGGTAAAGAGCCCTTACTGGCGCATCCTGGACGCCACCGTGCTGGAGGTGCTGAAGGAACAGGTGCTCAACGAGGAGAACTCGGTGTACATGTTGTACTACGAACGCCGCTGATTGTGTATATATAGACCGCGGCACTAATCGCATTTATAGACTTGGGTAATCGGACACTACACTAGCAAATCTGTAAACCGGTGTGGGTTTTGTGTACAGTGGGGGATTGCAGGTGATTATTTGCTGTGTGCTTTTTGTGACACTCGTGCTGCAAAAACGACCCTTCGAAACTGCGATGGAGGCATACAAATTAATCTTATTATAAACTGGATGTTGAAAATCTCAACAATAAGGTTAGTTTCATGGCGCAAATCCTTCCCCCACAAAATGCAACCGATAATAGTAGGTGTCTTGTGTATATGTATTTAAATGCAATAATGACCGGCTAAGCAGTAGTCGGCTTAGGCGGTGGTTGGCGGGGTGTAGTCGCTTTCGACGGCCAACATCGTCGCCACCTGAGTATCGGTCCATGTGAGCTGCTGGTGCAAGTACTCCTGGACCACTTCTTTAAACTTAAAGTAAAAGCGACAGAAACGGACCCCGACTTGGACGAGGACATCGGCGACACTCATCGGCAGATTAAGCTTAGTAAGCTTATCCTGAAGCTCCAAAAGTGCTGTGGGAAGGTATTCCGTCAAATTAGCATCCACTTTCTCAATGTGGGCTTTAGTAAAGAGCTGGTTCTCCGTGATCAGCTGGTAGAACTCGACCATAAAGTCGTCTTCCTCGACGTCGGAGATCATGCACATGACGTTATAGTAGTCATAAGTGCCCAGCTTCTTTAATAAGTGAGTAAACTCTACTTGGCAGAGCTGCTCGATGAGCTGGTGGCTGGTATCGCTGACGGCCACCGTCTTATCGCTGAGCATGACGATGGGCATCGTCTTTGAGAGCACCAAGTCGATGAAATTGGCCTTAAGGATGAGTTCGTCGGCCTTAGTATCGACGGCTTTCAGCTCACTAACGTGGGCAAAGCAGATGTCGATGGGCTGGTTGACCACGAGGCTGAGCACTTCGTCGTGGTCTGCTTTGGGTAAGTTCCAGAGGGTAGGCGTCGCCAGGGCGTCGACGATGGGGAGCAAATCGGAGTAGTACTGGACAATCCATTCCGGTGGTTGTAAGTCGAGACTGAGCTCTAATTTAGCCGCTGATGAGTCACGAATCGTGGCAAGCCGATTACGTAAGATCAGTACTAACTTATGCTGTGCAAGCTTCACCATTTCTCTTACGGTAGTCACTACTGCCAGCTCCTTAGACATCACTTTAGCAAGCATCATCTGGTATAAATCGACAAGCTGGAAGATACCGTTGACCACGGCCAACAGTGTCAGACTCAGCATAAGCTGACTAAGTTTCAGGCGGAGTGGTTGGCAAAGCAGGGCCAATATCCGCTCCACCACCGCCGCCAATTGCGGGTCAGAATCGACGTCTTTACCAAATATGGTCACCACCAGCTCATGCTCGTTTACCACCACGGCATGGACATAGGCGAGCAAATCGCCGATATAGCGTATCGGGTCGTGGGCGCTGAGCCACACCGGCCGGGCGTTATTGTTATTAGTATCATTAGCGTCGTTATTATTATCGGCCCCTTGAGCCTGTCGGAGGAAGTCTTCAAGCACCAGTTTCTGGCGCAGGTCAACGAACTGTTTCATGATCAATTCCCAGAAATGGGGCTTCTCCCGGAAATAGGCTAAACACCGTTGTAACGCCTCTAATCGGTCAGGCAGAGCAAACTGGTAGTTTTCAAGGGTGCGCTGAGTCAGCGTGATCACTCGCTGATGAGCTTTATCCACTATCCCGCCCACTTTGGCCATTATCTGTTGGCCTAATTGAGGGTTATCCATCGATAATAAAATCAGACACCGGTCGACGATATGCTCCGCTCGCTCGAGGACAACAAACAATTCCGGATCTGAAACCTCCCCTTGGGAGAGGACAAACTCTTCGTAGTCGTTTAGGGTGAATTGGTGGCGGAAGGAGGCGAGAAGGTTGCGCTTCACCGCCACCATCTTTTTGGTGTGGCTGAGCGCGGTGACGTCGCCGAAAAAGGTGTCGTCGGCGGCGCCGTGGCGCCGCAAGAGCGCCCGCGTCTGCTGGTGGAGGTGGTTGAGGGCGCCCAACTGCTGGTGGAGCCGCTGAAATTGGCGCACCACCGGCGCGTACTCGCGGAGCACCTGCGCCTGCGCCTTGACGACGTCGGCTTCAACCGTACCTCGGAAACGGCGCCGAGCAAGCGCCCCTTTAAGCTTGGTCGCCAGGGCGATGGTATCGGGCTCGAGATTGGCAAACACTTCTCGGATTAAGGTGTCGGGGATCAGCGGCGCCAACACCCGCGATAGCCGCGCGCTAAGGGCGCCGGTATCGACGGCGGCGCCGGCGCTGGTGGCGGCGCTAGTAGCGCTAGTAGTGGCTTCGTGGTCGCCACCATCAATTGACTCCGTTTCCCTCGCCTTAATCGACTGGAGCGACAATTGAGCGTACTTCTCACTGATGCTATCGGCCTCTGCCGGCGCCAGCGCCAGCAGCGCCGGCGTCGCCTCGTCGCTGGCGGCGACGGCGATGTCGCTGATGAACCGCCCAAGCTGGAGCCGGCGCGAGAGCAGCTCGAGGTTGCCGAGCGGGAGCAGGAGCGCCGGCTGTATCGGCGCCAGCGGCGGCGGCAGCAGCTCGGCGGCGCCGCCGATGTCGAGGTCGAGGAAGTCCATAGCTTATGGATTGTGAGCTGGTGGCTTTGGTGGTTGAGCGAACGCGGTTTTGTGATCACGTGATGTTAACTCTCCAGCGCGCGCGTAGCTGTGAGACCGCACTCGATCGAACGCTCACCGATGATTGAAATAATCGTTATGAGCCCCGACCCTTCAATATAAACTTTAGCTTTTTACGGTGCTTCGACTTTTACTTGTTTCGAGAGGGTCGCCCCCACGTAGCGGCGTGTGGCAGGATTGCGCTTTAGGAAAAAACGCCCCCAACCCCGGCGCAAAATCTCGGCGACCTAACGCAGTTATTATCGACGCCGGCACCACGCGTTATATATATATATACTTGCTCGTCGTCGTTATCAGAAGCCTTAGTCGTGCGCCTACCGAAAACTTCCGCTAAACTTGCTCACTCACACTGACCACTCACACCTCACTGCCATCTCCCACTCGAGTGATATAACGAGACATTGTCCGCGGAGCGCCACCATCAGAGTGCAACCAGCAACTCATGACGAAAAAGAAAAAATTGTAAAAACAAAAACCACCGTCATCGCCAGTGCTTGTGGCACATTGCTTGCATCAGTGTCACTCGGCTTTCTCTCTCTTTGGTCTTCTCTCTCTTTGGTCTTGTCTAGTCTCGGTAGAGCCGGTCCGGTAGCCCCCTTCCCGTCTCTCTCGTAACATCTATTTTCTTTTCTTTTATAGGTAACCCCGGTAACCAGGTAAGCCGCCCAGTAGCTACGCCCCGTAAGGGTCTCACAACGATGTATTTCCCCTAAAAACGTTCTAGCACTCCACACAGAAACCCAATGACGTCTTATGACTAAGGGATACGGGTTGTGTGGGGGGGACCGGCTGCTACGGGAGCGTCGCAACCCATCGCAGGCTTGTCCTATTTTGGCTCGACGTACCGCGGCAGTTTCCCCAGCCTCCCCGTGAAACGGTCCCCCAACATATAGTCAGAAAGAAAACTAACCCGCTGACACTGTTATTGTTGACGTGACGTCGGTAGTTTACGGTAAAGTCGATTTTCCGTAGCAGAATCTTAAGTTTCTCTCCCAAAATATTTTAGCCTGAAAAATTGTTTTGTTGACGTCTTCNTTTTTTTTTTTTTTTTTTTGACAGCAGCGGTACAACTCGACCACGGCTGCTGCCCACTGCTTCCCCGGGGGTCCGTTGCTAAGGCTGCTGCCGCCTGATTGCCCTTGCTGCGTCTATATTTGCGGTGCCGTTGCTGATTTAGTGGCGGCTAGTGGCCACAAAAACTGCCGCGGTTTAGCCGACCAGCGTCCGCGTACGCCGAGCGTCCTCCAGGGGGCCGTCACCCTTGTGCCGTTTCCATCGGCAAACTGGACCGGCTGCAACCGCCGAGGGCGCCACTAGTCCGGCTTCCGAGACATGCGACGTATCACAATTACATATTAGTCAAGTGACACAAATCTGGAGAATACAACGAAGGGAACAGCGGAAATAAACGGGGCTATCCCCCACTACCACCACCCAGGACAATTCTATCTTAGATTCGTTAGCGTCTGCTGCTGGCGATGAAAACTGCAGATAGAAAAATGCTCTTGTAAATGTCGACACAAGACAGATATGCCCGTTATCAGTATTGTACGATAAATCGCCAGCCCGCCACCGCAGTCGCCGCAGGGTTGGCTCGGAGGGGCGAGTGGTATTGTTTCACTTGCCAACCGCGTTGTTCGAGACCAGCTTCGTAATTGTTATGGTCTGTCTTCGAGGCCCGAGGAAACCGATCCCGAGCTTCCCTGATCGGACAACGGGTTACGCCCAATGTCTCTCTGGGCAGTTACCAGGTAGTGCGAGGAGACATTGAGACATGATTCCGATGCCTCCCCGGCGTCTCCGAGGAACAAGTGACTAGTTTCCCACTAGACGCCACCAAATTAGTCATAGATCCGGTAAGGGAAGCAGGTGAATACGACGGACAGGTAATTTCCTAGGTGAGGGTCTGGCCAGTTTCCGAAAACCTAGCGATCATAATAGATGGTACGTGGATGTCGATGATGGTTTGCAACGACTACCAATTGGGGCATTACAGTAATTTTCTGCGAAACCACACTACTTTTCACCAATTTGCATAATCGTACAATGTCGGTTATTGTCATCGTTGTAACTAATACGATCGCCGCCACTACCGTCTATCTTTAGTCAATGCTAGTAGTAAGAATTTCTTATCCTACCATTTATTTCGTAAAAAAAAAAAAAATAACAGAGTAAAATCAATCATGCTAGGGGAGATGGTTAATGGGGGGGGATGCTACACCAAAAGGTCGGTGATACTGATCCGCGTCGATGGTGGCCGCCCCAACAGCTTGAGCGTGAGTGCTACTGCCATGTCGTCATCGGAGTGGTAGGCGGCACTTTGTGGTGGCGCCCGTGACGGCTGCGGGAGCGGCGCCGGCTCCACGGGGGCAAGCGGTTGCGGGAGGGGATGGTAGCCGTAGTTGCGGGGGGGCA